ATAATAATAATAATAATAATAATAATAATAGATTTATTTTGTTTGCGCTTTTACAGGTGCTCAAAGACGCTTTACAGATATAGTGAAAAGGAAAGAAAAGAAAGGAACAACAAATAAATATATAGTTAAATTTTAATTCAAATAATACAAAAACAATCAAACATTAAAAGCAGGATTGAAGAGGTATCATATCAATGCATATCATTATTTCTGATACATAAACATTAAAAGCAGCGTTTAAATATTCATAGCTGGTTGAGGTGGAGCTTAGTGAAGCTATTCTTGGTAGCTTCATGTAATACAATTCTTTATATGTTACAAAACCAATGTATGTATGTTTTTAATATGCGTTTTAACTATATCTGTGAAATGAATGTAAGGGAGTAATACAATAAAAATGTGCCTCTATAATAGTAAGTGTAGTAGAGGTATAAAGAAGCAAAACAAATTGAAATATTCATGTACAAATACCCCTAAATGTCCGCAAATGTACTAACAAACATTGAAATTGAAAGAAAGTCGAGAAATAAAACTGCTTAGTTAATTAAAAATCTAAACTTATAAACATTAAAACGTGCCATAAACCCCCCACAAAACCTCATCTTCCAACCCCACTGTTTTAAACCTGGTTACGCCTTTGTTGTTCCTGTATTCAGAAATCATTGTTGCATCTTATTGTGTTCCAGTTGTTGGAATGTGGCGTAACCTATGTGATCCCTATGTGCTGAGTGCAATATCGTGTGTGTGTGTGTGTGTGTGTGTGTGTGTGTGTGTGTGTGTGTGTGTGTGTGTGTGTGTGTGTGTGTGTGTGTGTGTGTGTGTGTGTGTGTGTGTGTGTGTGTGTGTGTGTGTGTGTGTGTGTGTGTGTGTGTGTGTGTGTGTGTGTGTGTGTGTGTCAGTGTGTGTTTGTGTGTGTGTGAGGCGGCGCGTGCTTCACTGCAAAGATTCATGTAGCTCCAGGACATGCTTTTTTTTAGTGCATCTTGTTAGTTCATTCCTGTCACCTCTCTCTCTCCCTCTCCCTCGCCATCCCTCGCTTTTTTACAGCGCTGAAGGGGGGATGGGGAAGGGGTGGTGGACGGGCCTGGAAGGGGAGGAAATGGGGGGGGCGGCGGCGGTGGAGGCAGTCACCATGGTTACAATGCCACGACAAATATTCATCAAGTCGTTAAAATAAAAACAAACTGGAGTGCATTATAATTGCTCTTACTGACTGGATCCTGTAATGCGTTCATATATTATGAGTGAGGGGAGCGGAGTGGAAGGGGCTCGCACACAAAAAAGACTGCTATTAAAAAAAAAGTTAAAATCATCTGACCTGCGGGCAAACACATATATGAAACACTCACACACAATTCAGCTGTGTGTGTATAACTATATGTTTCAATTACCTGTTTATGGAATTCCCTATGAGTACTTTCGTGTGTCTCTTTCTCTTTGTCCCTCCATCTCTCGCTCTTCCTCTACTGTTGTGTAGCCCGAGGCGATACTGTGATGTGTCCTCCCTCTGTCCCTCCCTCCCTCTCCCTCTCTCTCTGTCCCTGTCACCTTCAATTGCTCTGTGAAACTAGACACACTGCCTGGGGCAGGGAGGCAGGGAGGGAGGGAAGAGAGGAAAAGAGAGAAGGAAAAAGGGAGACAGACAGACAGCGTTAGACGGACAGAAGGAATAAACATTTGGTGTCATGTAATACAAAAAGAGGAACGGCAGCCCTGATGTGTGGCACACTCTCAAAAACAATCATCTTAGTCAATTTGACAGCCAAAAACATCAAACTTGCTTAGCTGTTGGAAAAAATACAATCAGATACATATGCACATCTACCCAATTTAGGGCACTGTTTGACCTTTGACCTGGGTCATTTTGGGCCTAACCCTACATGCTCCAGGATTCCTCTTGTGTGTGCTATAACCCAGTTGCTTCTCCTTGGAAAATAAACATGTCAAACTGGTTTGTGTTGTTCCTGGAGCAAGGAACCTACTCTTTCTGTCTACAAACACAAAAGGCTAATGGCAACCACAGAACAGCTTCATCTTGTTTACCTGGTATTAAGGTGAAGCTTATGTTTAAGTACACATGACCTAGTAGTTTACATAGGTGGTCGTTTGTTTTAGCAAAATGATGTGATTTGATTTGAAATATGAAAGGTTATTTTTCTTTATACCAATAACACAGGTTATATCTTTAAATGGCTGATACAATTTCTGTATTTATTTTGGGGAAAAAGAGCTATAAAAAAGCTATACATTATATTATTAGAATATATCCACTGAACGACTCATAAACATGATAAGCGTGCCAATGTAAAAAACGATTTTACACATGATGTACAACATATCTTACTCAATATACAGTTAGTTAGTTGAACATATATTCAACTAAAATAAAACATCGCGCTAAACAACAAGTTAAAGCACCAAAACAACATTTAAACCGTTAGGCTATTTGCAAGTAAAATCAAAAACAAGTGGACTAACCGCATGTGATCACTTACCTCTGTCTGGGATTGAGGCCTGCATGATTAACTGACGAAATGTTAACATGCAAATTCGCTCGGTGGGAAAAGAGAAAAGGATCATATTATTCACACAAAATCGGAAAAAGGACATTTCTTGTTACCAAATCAGGAGGCAGATCTGGTTGGTCCGCGGTTGTGCTCCTTAAATGTAATTGGTGCTCAGGTGAATTAGGAGGCGGGACAAGCATTTTTGATTGGCTGTAGGGGCACAGGTAACCATCTGTTGGTGATCGAGGCGTTTACTGAGAATTTTTCGGAAAGCCTTGAACCGTTAAGGGATTTATCGACGGCAAAACGGACGGAAATGTAACTTTTTTAATTGTCTTACTGCTCCAGTTTAAGCCTCAACATAGGAAGAAGAAGTGGGGAATTGCATGTAACGTTTTTAGAGGATACTGTTCTTTGTTAAGAGATAGTCGGTTCTCCTCAATAGTTGCGAAATCGGACAAAATGTCGCCAAAATCACAGTTTCGTGCCATCTTTCTGTGCATAGGTGAGTTTGAACCCTCATTTCCCCCTTCATGTCCCCCTTGCTCTCGCCATGTCTGCTGTTTCTTTTCCACCTGTTAAACACACTGTGTTAGCTAATCGGATAGAACTGTATTTTCGCTTGTTGAGTAAAAAAAACAGCTTCATCGACCAAAGTGAATCTTAAATGTAATTTGTGTTAATATATTTAGGCGTTTTGGCTTCGTATGCCCAAGAATGTGGCCGATCACCGATAGTGGAGAACCGGATTGTGGGAGGGATGGACGCCATAGATGGTGCTTGGCCGTGGCAGGTGGATATACAGGTAGGTCCCTTGTAATACTCTTCATCATCAGTTATATGGGGTTTACTCCAGGTCTTGTTTATAAAACCTGCTGAGGGGGAGTTTGCTTGTTGCTTGCCGAGGTGACTCACTCCTTTCCCTCCCCCCTTCGGCCTCCAGTTAACGACTGCTGGTCATATCTGTGGAGGCTCCATCATCTCAGAGTACTGGGTCTTATCAGCCGCTCATTGTTTCCCCAAGTAAGTAAACTGTCCTCAGACTCACTGATTCACTGCTGAGGGACGATCACATTCCTTTGTGAGCTGTTTTGGTAATTTTAGGTGTTAAATATCATGTTATCTCAGGAAGCTTCTATATCCCAACTTGATTGATTTGTTTTTAAATGTTTAACTTATTGCAAGGATGCACACCAGAAAGTCTTATAGAAAATGACTTTCCCTCCAAACAAACCCTATTTGATTTATTTGTTTAATGTTCAAGGTTAGTTTATTTGTATAGCACATTTTAGGACACAGAGGCAATTCAAAGTGCTTCACATAGGTATTTAACACATAATAATTAAAAACAAACACACAAACAAAAAAAAGACAATTCATAAAAGCGATAAAATACTGACTGCAGCTAAAAGTGCAATGATAAGGCACGGTTAAAGGATCTCAGGATAGGCTGCATTAAAAAGAAAGCTTTTTAACCTTGATTTAAAAGAACCCAGGGTTGGGCCTCAGAATTGAGGTGTGTGTTTTCCAGGCTTGTGGTGCATACAAGCTAACCAGGAAGTATCTTAGAGTTTTACAATCTATTTGACAAGGTAGTAGAAATACCTAGTCATAACACAATATGTAGAAACAGTCAAAATACTACAAGAACAGCTATTAAAAACAGTGGCCTTTCAATAAAAAAACAACCACATGCCTGTGTCCTGCGCCATTGTGGTGAATTTGACAACATCAATAATAATGAGTGTTTCTAATGTTGACAACTAATTGACGATTATTTCTAATGAATGTTGCTTAGTAGGACAAAGGAGTTTTCATTTGATTTATTTGACTTTACTAGATGAATGTTCAAGGACCAACATGTTGTTATTAAAGTGAGTGCAAGTGAGCAGAACTTTTTATTTTTCTCCTAGATTATGGTAAACATTTCAAGTAGCACCTGTCTGGCATTACATTCCTTATTGTTTCACATTTCGAATTTCCAGTCATACAGTATTCATATGTCTTCTTTCAGTCCCTCAGATTTAAGCTCTTTCGTCGTCTACGTTGGCCGGTACCGGCTGAACGGATGGAATCTGCACGAGTCGACATACAGTGTGAGCCGGGTGGTGATCCCGTCTGGTTACAGCGAGCCGCACAATGGGAAGGACCTGGCGTTGGTGCAGCTGTCCAGCCCAGTGACCTGGTCAGATTACGTCCGGCCCGTCTGTTTGCCCGACTTTGGCACGCTGTTCCCAGGAGGCCTGCAGTGCTACGTCACCGGTTGGGGAAATGTCAGAGATAACGGTAAGGCTTGCTAAATTCTGCACATTGTCTTAGTATATGTAAAGATTACTGTTGTGCAGCAGTTAATTATTTTACAGGTCTCTGAAATGCCCTGGTTTTTCTGATGTCATGCATGATAGTGGAACACACATCATTTGTGAATACACTAGTATTTATTTGCCATACAGTTATATGTTTATGATATTAATTATTATATATTTTTAAAGATAAATATGTGTGTGCTGTGCTGGCATATCATAGTAAAGAGTACAGTTTGGGTGGGAAATTGATTAATGTAAGAATCAAGATGTTGTTATTTTTAACATCAATATTTTAATTGTTTTTTATCATTTGAACTAGTTTTACCAAAAAAAGTACAACACTTTTTTTGGTAAAACATTTTAATAAGCGTTTTCAAATATAGCAACTCAATCTTAAACCCTCACTTTACTCCACTTTTCATTTAGGGGTTGTTAGAAAATATTTATACACAATAAATAGTTTAAAATACAATCAAGATGTCATTTAAATGCTTAACTGCACCAACATACTAGCAATTAGAATTCATTTTGAACCATACTACTGTAGATTGTAGCATGCTGACTACCTATGTTAAGTATTTTCTTAATGTTATTATTTTATTTATGAATCATTTAAGTAGGCCATAGGTTAAATATCAAATGTGTTATATCTCTCCTCCTGTCAAGTTATTCTCTCCAAAATGTAGTCTTAAAACATAGATGCGCAGAACTGTCAGCCCACTGCTGATGAGAGTTAAGACTGCGAGGTCAGTGAGATACAAAGCCTTGCGACACATTTCAGAGACAGCGATGATACAGATCTTTTGATTTGAAAATGTTAACAAGGGTTTTAAGGAACCATCTAGTGTTACAACTTTGGATAGATTTGCAGGTCTCCCTTGAAAAAGAGATCAATGATCTCAATGGGATACACCTGGATAAATAAAGGTTTGAAATGAAATAAACAAGTTTACCGCTTCCCATATTTAGGATAAATATCGAGAGAGAATGGCTTGGCTTCAGAATGTATGGTGTTATATAATGTGATTGCACTATTCTACAAGATCCAATAAACCTTTAGCGCCAGAGATCACGTCGGTGTCTTGCAGCCTTCTTTGATTCTAAATACTTGTCTCATTAAGATTTTCCTTCACAAACTGTTTAGTTGCAGAAGTTACAAAGTCTCCCTCACCATCCTCTTTTTGTCCCTGTGTTCCCCTCAGTCCCTCTGCCAGGAGTCGGGACTCTGCAGGAAGTGGAGGTGCCAATCATTTCCCAGAGTTCATGTCAGGAGATGTACCAGACGCACCCGACGGAGCAGGTGGACATCCTGTATGACATGATCTGTGCTGGATACCAGAAGGGCGGAAAGGACTCCTGCCAGGTACTGTTGGATCAGCTGTTTGTGATGCTCTGTATTTACAGTCACTCAGACACACTCACGAGCTGCTAGCATGCACTGTGTAGTTTTTAAGATCTTCCTTTTAGAGCACTTTATTTCCTCCCCAAGCTGATTTGAGTGTGTCTTCTCCTCAGGGCGATTCAGGAGGGCCCCTTGTCTGCAAGATGGTGAATGGGACCTGGGTGCAGGCGGGGGTGGTGAGTTTCGGACTGGGCTGTGCTCAAGAGAACCAGCCAGGTGTTTACGCGAGAGTCACCAGCTACTCCAGCTTAATCAGAGACACGGTCCCAGGGATCCGCCTGTATGGCCGAGCTGCAAAGAACTGGTGTGGGAGGGCGGCCATGTTGGTCACCTCTCTACTGATCCTGCTTCAGAAGTAGAACACTTTATCAACGCGATATCAGGCCAAATGAAGGAGAAAACAAATAATATGTCAGACTCGCGTCCAAAAGTTTTCCTGAATGGTAGAACTAGAAACCTGAAGTGCATATCAAGCCATATTGAACAAGAAATGTAATTTTAATCGTACATTTTTTAACTGATTAAAAGTAGTTTTGATAGGTTTGTATTTGAAATCAGAATTATGAGCTTAATAAATTATGTGTTCTGTATTTGAAATAAATTGTTCATTTGATTCTTAAAAATCAGGTCAGTGCTCTGTTCAACTTTTTATAGCCGAGTTTGGAAGTGTTTTACAATCCACGTGTTGTTTAAGTAGGTTTATTCATGCTCTTTTAAAGCTAGCCTTTTTATATCGACATCTTATACATCTGATTACAACTCCTCAGAATTAACGTTTTTGAACAAATATCCCCATCATATTTTCAGGACACTTTTCAAGTTTTTTTTAATCCTTTTTCAAATGTTTATTTTAAAAGCAGTAAGCCAATTTTAAGGTGTGTTTTCAACAGTACCAACTTAATATCAATGTTGTTAGGGGATCATTCTAACTCCTTTACTCCTAAAATATCAAACCTTTTTGCCCTTTGACTTTTATGACCAACCCTGACTCAGTTATCTAGGAATGTGTTGCTTTATGTTGATATTCCCAGTTTATGACCGGGCAACTCTCGGTCACAAATGGACCGGTTTATGGTTGTGATAACGCTGGAACACTTCCTTCTCGGTGTTTGTGGACTCCAAGGCGTAATCTTCGAGGCCATGAGGGTCAGACAAGTGATTCACTGTCCCCAGATGTTTAGGCTATCTCTAGTGTTCCCAGATGTTTAGATTATCTCCCCCAATATGTTGATTACTCTCTGCAAACTAGTTAAAAGGTCTAGCGAGAGAGAGGCGCTTGAGAATTGACGTGGCAACCCTCCCGTGCAGTCAGAACCTCTGGCTGTGTGAGTTGTGATGTGAATTCTCCGGCCGATATTTGTAATAAACCATCAGTGTTTGACATCAAAGCTCCTGACTCTCCATTGCTGCAGAAGTTTCCCTTACAGATGTTACTGTCGTTTATTAAATATCCAGAAGCAGAGGCAGGTGATGACACTTCTTTATTAGAAAGAGAGCGCAACATGTCATTATGGTAATACAAAAAGTGCATATTTAAAAAAAGAAAAACAAGCTAGCTTTTTAAGTTAGTCTGTATAAGTCTTCAGTCAAGATTTTCATGCTATATTAAAAAATCGAACATTCACACAAATCAAAGTGTTGTCTTATAAAGTCCAGGCAGGGAAGGTCAGGCATCAGGAGGAATGGTATCAGAGAGGATCATGGGAGAGCCGAGTTGTAACTCCTGCTGCAGCGATTCCAGATCAGCTGGCGTCATGCGGTGCACCTCGCTCCAGTCAGAGAGCAGGGAGGCTGAGAGGGGGGCCGAGTCGTAACTGAGGAAGTAGCAGGGAAATACAGAAAGCATTAAGTTATCCCTCTTTTTATATTATACTCATTTAAATAGCATGAGTGACAACACAGTATCATTGTAATGAGAACTGATTATTTACAGTACAAATGCATTGCTGGTCCCACAGCGAGTATTTACATTGTTATAGCAAAAGGAAAGTGCAGATAAAAGGCAAAATTGAAGTTATTAAATATTAAATAACGAGGCAGGCACACATTTATAAAACAAAATAAGTACACATTGATAGAAAAGCCAGTAATTCATTAAAATGGCAAAAGTACGACGGAGTATTAGGGCCACACTTAGGAAAAAAAACAGATTTCGAGAGTAAAGTCGTAGTTTCGTAAGTGACTTGAGAAGGAGACAGCAGCGTCCTGAGTGTGGAGCATCTTGTGAAGCAGTACTTTAGTTTAGGTTTCTCAAATAATGAAATACTTAATCTTTTGGCACATCAGCATCAGATTATCATAAATATTAGAACTTTGAAAAGGTTGTGCAAGAAACTATGTCTATTATTTCGGAGAAAGAACCAAACGGACTTGGAGGAGATTGTCTCCTTTCTGCAGGAGGAAATGGCTGGTTCTGGCCGACTACAAGGCCATCGTTGGTTACATCTACGAGCTGTTCAAAGGGGAT